GTCATCGCTGAGGGAGAGCCGCACTGTCGGAGGGTCAGTGCTGAGGGAGCGCCGCACTGTCAGAGGCGTCATCTTTCAGATGCAATATTAAACCTAGACCCACAAAGGAAGTCGGGTGTGTAAGAGAGCCCACGGCCACTATTGGAAAAAGAGCAGGTGGACTATTCCTCAGGGACCTGGGGCCAATATTTATCCCTCAACCAACATCACTAAAAGTTTTCATTTTATGGTCGAACAGCAAAGAAAAAGAAAGCAGTTCTGGGACCCTTGACCTCTGGGTTCACTGCGATGATGGTTCTGTTTGCTAGGGTTCGCTGTCCTTCAATCTCCCTTCTCCAGGTCCCTTTCACCTCTTCACAAGAGGCACAGGCCGACTGGTACATTCACCGCAAAGTCTCTTTGTTACAGCTTAAAGCCACAGGTTACAACAACTGGTGAGGGATAATAAACTTTTCAGGTTTTAAGTATTTTGCTGGTTTTTAAAACAGGAATTTTCCCATTTCAATCCACAATCGAAAATCCCGAGAAATCATAACATACTGTCTTTACAGAGGGAAAGAGAAAAGGCCAGTGATCCCACAGCCTGTGATGTGAGATCATGATCAGAATCTTGCCATGATGCCCCATGCAGTCAAATGGTCAGACAATCTTCCAAACAAACATGAGTTTGGACAGAACAGAAAGTGACATCTCCATTCCGAGCAGAAAGCCCTGTCATATTTACTTGTGAGATAGTTACCAGACAGCTCTGCAAAAACCTGTTCGTCAGGAAGTTGTTATCATACAACAGATCCAATCTTTCTGAAGAAGTTCAGAAGGCGTTACCCCATAAACTGCTCCAGGAGGAGCCAAAAGAAACTCAGGTGATTCTTCACTGAGCCAACAGGAGCCACAGTGACACGGGCACACAGGGAGGTGATGGCCTATTGGTATTATCGCTGGACTGTTAATCCAGAGACCCTGGTAATGTTCTGGGGACTCAGGTTCAAATCCCGCCACGGCAGATGGTGGAATTTGAATTCAATAGATGTCTGAAATTAAGAATAAAATGATAACTGTGAATCTATTGTTGATTGTCAAGAAAAACCCATCTGGTTCACTAATTCCCATTAGGGAAAGAAACTGCCATCCTTACCTGGTCTGGGCCTACATGTGACTCCAGACCCACAGCAATGTGGTTGACTCTGGGCTGTGTGTGCGTGTGCAGTAAAAATACCTGAGACCAGAAGAAAGCCAGTTGTTTATTCTCTAAGAAGTTGCTTCAAGAAATAACTAAGAGACTTTGTAGTTAGTCTGACAGTCACAGCGCTCCCTCCAACAGTGCGGTGCTCAATCAGGACTAAGGCAGGGAAGGTTGAAATGGATGATGTAAATCAATTGCTGTCATAGAAATACAGAAAATAGGACTATGATTAAGCCATTTGGCCCTGCCAGCCTGCTCCCCCATTCAATTGGATCATTGCTGATCATCCAACTCAGTCCCAACTTCCTCCCTCCGCACCCTTTAGCCCTAAGAACTATAATCGAGCTCCTTTGTGAAAACATTCAATGTTTTGGCCTCAACCGCTTGCTGTAGTAGCGAATTCCACAGGCTCCCACCCTCTGGGTGAAGACATGTCTCCTCATCTCAGTCTGTAATGGCGTACCCTCTCTCCTTAGACTGTGACCCCCGTGGTTCTGGGCTCTCCGGGACATAGGGAATGATTTTCCTCTTCACTTCAGTGACCCTCTGACACAATGAAAACATCACCGTAGACCTTCAGACTATCAAGGAATATTGAACGTTAGGTTCAGGAAGGGACGGGAGTGAGATGGGGGAAGGATGTTGAGGAATATTGGATGTTGGGTTTTCAGAATGGATGGGAATGTGGAGTAGATTAATGAGGAATATTGGATGTTAGACTTTGGGAGAAGGTGAGGGATGGAAGTGTACCTTGAAAAGTTGTGATTAAAGAACGACTGATTTGATTGTTTTCAGACTGAGTGCGGAGCGAGCTCGTTGCAAGATGACCATTCGGCCCCTCCAGGGGGCACAGGGGCTTCTGCTGGGAACCAGTGAGCTTATGCCAGCCTTGGGCACGGAGCTACTGGTGGCTGGCAGTGAGGAGCTGTTTCGCAGCCCGGGAAACTCCAGCCACGAGGCCTTGGGGGGCCGTGCCATGGGAGAGGTCATCGCCATCCTGTGGGTGACATCCAGCCTGTCCTTGGCGACAGTGGTGGGCAACATCCTGGTGCTGCTCTCCATCCAGTTCAACCAGAGGCTGAGGACGGTGACCAACTACTTCCTGTTGAGCCTGGCCTTGGCTGACCTGATGATTGGTCTCTTCTCCATGAACTTTTACACTAGCTACATCATCCTGGGCCACTGGGCACTCGGCAGCCTGACCTGTGACCTCTGGCTTACTCTGGACTATGTTGTCAGTAACGCATCAGTCATGAATCTCCTGGTGATCTGCTTTGACCGGTACTTCGCTATCACTCGCCCCTTGACGTACAGAACCAAGCGGACCCCACGGAGAGCGGCCATTATGGTTGGCGTAGCCTGGTGCATCTCCATCACGGTGTGGGCGCCCACCATTTTGTGCTGGCAGTACATCGTGGGCCAGCGAACGGTGATAGCAGGCAGCTGCCAAGTCCAGTTCCTCTCGGAGCCCATCATCACCTTCGGCACGGCCACCGTCGCCTTCTACCTGCCCGTGGTGATCATGACCGTCCTGTACGCCCGCATCTACAGGGAGACAATGCAGCGCACACAGGTGCTGGCAGCTCTCCAGGAGGCAGGGGGCAGTGTCGCCAAAAGGCAGGGCACGGGCAGGAGGCTGCTGGAGCCTGAACACACACCCTCCGCCAAGTCCGACGGCCAATCTCAGCCCAAGGCCAAGAGCATCATGGTCCAGGAGAGGATTGGGTCCATTGTCAAAGAGAAGAAAGTAGCCAGGACGCTGTCCGCCATTTTGCTGGCATTTATAGTCACCTGGTCTCCATACAACATCATGGTGTTGGTGTCAACATTCTGCACTGACTGCATCCCCAGTGGTCTCTGGCAACTGGGTTACTGGCTCTGCTACGTGAACAGTACCGTTAACCCCCTGTGCTATGCCCTGTGCAGCAGCGAGTTCCGCATTACCTTCAAAAGGCTCTTACTCTGTCACTGGGACAAGAGGAAATGGACAGAGAACCCACTGGCAAGACAAGCCAGACCCTGAAAAGAGGCATGGCACCCTCCTCCTCCGCCCTCTGTGGGTCAGGGATCCCACAACACCAGCTGGTGGCCCCCAAAGTTGGCAGGCAAACCTCAGCAGGTGGTTGGCATACAGCCCAGGACCAGGGCAGCCGGGGAACTAGATACCAGGGACATTTTGATTCCCCTTAAGCCCGTCCCTAATTGCCCACGGCCACCGCTGTGCACCTGGAGTCACGCGTCGGCCACTCAGGCAAATGAGACTCTTCATTCACCCTGTACCTGACCATCACAAACCCCTCTTCACCACCCCTCTACAAATAAACCCCCTGACATCTGGTGATAGGGCAGACCAGGTCTGGGAGAGGGGCTGAATGGCTTCTTCCTCTTTTAGGGACATTCCCAGACCTTGCTTGAGTAACAATTAGACCAGTCTGTGCACAGCAGGATCCAGCAAATTGTGGCTGGGGTATTTTCCACTCACATTTTAGAGGAGTGTTACAGGAGCAGAAGTAGGCCATTCAGCCCATCGTCTGCTCTACCATTCAATGGTTGATCTGATCACACTCTACTCCACACTCCTGTTTTTCTCCCCATAACCCTCGACTCCCTTCCTGATTAAAAATCTCTCTCAGTCCTGAATATACTGAACAACCCAGTCCTGACAGCCCTCTGTGGTAAAGAATTCCACAGACTCAATCCCCTTGGAGAGAAGAAATTCCTCCTCGTCTCTGTCTTCAATGTGTGACTCCTCACACTGAGATGATTCCCTCTGGTCCTAGACTCTCCCACAAGGGGAAACAGCTTGTCCACCTGTACCCTTGTCAAGTTCCTTCAGAATCCTACACATCCCAATAATGTCGTACCTCATTCTTCTAAACTCCAATGAGTACAGGCCCAACTACTCAACCTCTCCCTCATGAGTCAGTGCCTCCATCTCTGGGATCATCCTCCTCTGGACTGCCTCCAACGTTAGTACATTTTTCCTTGGATAAGGAAACGGCCACCTTTTCTCCAGTTTTCGGGAAGCTCGCACGCACCCAAACCCTGGAGCCAGCAGCATTGTGAAAGGCAGGTCCCAGCTCCAGAACTTCAGGCCCTCCCCCCTGGATCTTGCTCAGCCAACAATGATGGAGTGTTGTTCCCTTCTCAAAGCATTGTCACTGTTAGCACACAGGAACCAATTCACACACAGCCTAGCTTCCCCCAAACAGCAAGAAGGTGAAAGCAAGATGCTCCAGTTTTCTCGGTCTGCTCGCTGGAAGGATAGTCCTATCCCCAGGATTCCAGAAAGAATGGCCTCAGGTCATGACCCGCATAGAGAGTGCGGCATCTTCACTGGAGACCTGCCTGCTTTAACACCAAAGACAGAATTGCCTGTAGCCTTAGGTGCCAGGGCCTTGCTCACTGCACACGTTGCCATAAAACTCTGAGACATTCATTTTGTGTTAAAACATTGGCCTTACCAGCCCAGCAGCAGCCCCTATTGGGCTCATGTGAAGGATGGGGGCTCTGTATTGCAGCAATAAACTGCTCTCTCTCTCTCTCAGCCTGAAGTTCATATCCGTTTAACATATACATTTCGGTTTCACCGTTCCTTCAGTGTTGCTGGGTCAGAATCCTGGAATTCCCTCCCTAAGGGGCATTGTGGGTCAACCCACAGCACATGGACTACAGCGGTTCAAGAAAGCAGCTCCCCCCCACCTTCTCAAGGGGGCAATTAGGGACGGGGCAATAAATACTGGGCCCAGGCAGTGACACCTGGCCACACCATTTCTATTTTTAAAAAATCATTACATCTGACCCCGTTTTAATAAGAAAAACCGAAAGATGCTGTAAGTCAGGAACAAAAACAAAGTTGCTGGAAAAGCTCAGCAGGTCTGGCAGCATCTGTGAAGGAGAAAACAGAGTTAACGTTTCGGGCCCA